TTAAACCCCAATAAATACCCCTACCACAAAAACGAGCCTTCCGGATTCCGTCCCCCACCACCCCTTCACCCAAGAACACAGCCCCTTCAATGCAGTACAACTCCAACAAACCGCTTCCGCAAAATGCCGAATCATGCATCTGGAACCGGTCATTGACGCGCACAGCCTCGTCCTTCTTGGGCCGTCCCGGGGTCGTGACAAGGGGCAGCGTGGAGAGGAAGGAGACGTATGTTTTGCAGAGGGTTGCTGTGAAGAGGTTGCGGATTATGGGGATCTGGTCATCCAGGAGGGTTTCAAGATGGAGATCTGAGGCGGGGACGAGGGGTTTTAGGTCTGGCCAGTTTGGGGGGTTGTTGCTGCTGCTGTTGTTGTTGTTGTTACCGTGGTTGGAATTGGGGTTGCTGGCTTGTTGCGGGGTATATTTTTTCGTGGAGGACTCTTTTTTGGCGCTCTTTGGCGCCATGTTGCTGGCCTATATATCTATATATATTGTGAATACCTTGGGTTTCGATTTATATTTCATAGACTTTAACTATCTTTATTCCTGCCTCTTCTATTCGAATAGGAGGAGTTTGGAAACCGGATGTGATTCAAGGTAGTCAGTCTTTGTCCGGAGATGAATTAGCCTCGGGAACATCTCAATTTATCAATCAAGACTGTATTAGGATAGAGCAAGCAAGTATTTATGAATATATGACAAGGAGGTAAACAACCTACAAGGTTCGGGGTGATTGAGTTGGAGTGCCCCCTGACTCTTCATATTCTCTCTCAGTATATGTCCGAGAAACCCATGTTGAAAGTTCGGGGACTTGGTTATTTAGAATGCAAAGCGTGGCTACGTAGTAAATGGGTATTTACTAGCCTGTTTTAACTCGTTATCCTTGGAGAGATGATCAAAATTATTAAAATTTGAAGGCTTTTTTTTAAAAAAAGGAGAAGAACAGCACCATAAAAAGAGTTGAAAAAGGATAAATATGATCGATGCAGGGATCGAACCTGCGATCTCCCGCGACTTTCACTTTTGTAAAGCGGGCGCCTTGACCACTGGGCCAATCGATCGGGTATGATGGCTTTGTAATCGAGGGATCTGATGATTAATGTATTTCCCATCGGGTGACAAGCCGCAGCGTTGCTCAAAAGAAAAAATATGTATCTATCCCAAGGTTCATTACTTCGTACAGGCACGGAATCTACCTCCCACTATGCATTTCCCCGCTCATCGTTGGCTATCTTAAGTTCAACCCTCTGCCTCCTTCGTCATTCTTACTACTATTTGTATGACAACAAAGACATTCATGTTAGACGGGAGAAGGTAGACTCTCATAGTTATCTCTGAAGGACGAACGAAAGCTGCTTATGAAATCCGCCATCACCCAACGTGGCTGCTGCACATGGAGGAGTGAAAGGTTGAAGAAGCGGTAGAATAGGGCAACCAAGATTCCCGCCTGAGTACTCTGCAGTTTGTGCCACGCCCTAAGTATTATCTGTTTCCATCAGAACTACTCCGTATAGGGGGTGGTTTGTTCGCGCAATATCAAGAGTAAATTGTAGATGTCGATGTCGAAAGACTGCCCATTGGCTGGTATGAGTCAGCCATCGCGAACCTCAAAATAATACGCTAATGCAAAAATAGGCTAGCGGAAATACACTCCTTGCGCGGTTTCTACGGTTGACTGCAGCTGCCCAAATCCCGACCGTCTGGATTCTTTTCAACTTCACCGCTTTGAGCTTGCGCTGGGTCCCGGCAGCTTTATACCATGTCGTCGTCTCAGACTTTGACGACGTCGTTGATGAGGCATACACCTCATGAGCCGGCGCCGGAGAGGTCTGCGTACGATCTCGGCGACCACTCGCGGGATATCCCCAATGACATTGATGCGTCGAACAAGCCCGGCCGTGACCACATCCAGAAGGCGCAGAACACCTTTTCCGCTCTGTCGTGTATGCCGATTTCTTTGAAGTTCTATGATAGCTGCCCATGGCGCTGACCCGATATGTGTAGATGACTATAAAAAACAAACCGATCGTGAAAAGCAGAACGCGGCAAGCGCTCTCCTCGCCCAACTCTTCGCCAATGGGACCCCCGCGACTGAACCACCACAAGGACCCCCGCAAATCGAACACATACTGGAAGATCTGCCACCAGACAGAGCTCCTGCTCCCGAAAAGCTGTGGGAAATATCGGAGGCTCAGGCGGAGAACGGTGTGAATGGTACAAATGGAGTGACTGAACCTGTGTTGGAGGCCGCTTCGGGAATGAACCAAGGACTGATTGAGGGTTCGAAAACGGACAGAGATATGCTTACGGATGTCTTTCAAGGAACCCAAAGTGAAAATATGCCGAAGGAGCTGAGTACCAATTCCGGCACAATACAAAGCCACAACAGCAAGGTGGAGGACGAGTTGGAAGATCTTTGCTCCGGGCTGCTACCCCTGGCGACACCGAAAAATGCGAAGGAGGCCCTGCGACAGAACGAATTGCTCACTGACTCTTATTTTAATGCTGACATCCATTCTGGCCCAACACCACGTATTGTCAACTATCCCGAACCCCCATCGCACGGCGATATGGAAAATTCTCAAGCTGCGCCGGAGTCTGTTCCGGGATCTGAACCCCGTATCCAGGCCTTCGCGAAGTTGGAATTCGACGATGGACATTTTTACGTTAATACCTACTCATTTATCCTAGGTCGTGATGTCCGTGCTGCGCGTGCTGCATTCCAGCGGGAGCTCCAAGTTAGACAAGCCAGAGGTCAAAGCTCAAGCGGAGGAAACAAGTCATTCACTCCGAACAGGGTAAAGCATGATGGAAGTGCTATAATGGGTAGCGTTGTTAGCGATAGAGGAGGAATTATGGGCTTCGATCCTGACGTTCCTCAACAATTCCCGCCCCAAGTTAGTTGGAAATCATCCAATTCATCACACGGCGAACAACGACGCCCCACGTTACACATGTCCGCTGCGGAAGTGCCTCCTACTCCGCTCGAAACACCAGAAGTAACTAAGGACTACAACGCTCTCGCGATGCAGTCATTACGTTCTAAAAATGACCCTAAACCGGTCGATACGTTGTCATTATTACCTTCTCCGGATGCCTGTCCAACAATACCAATACACCCTCCAACACAATCAAATGGAACCGTCGCCTCCCACCGCGGCATTTCTCGAAAACATGTCAAAATTGCCTACAATTTTGATCGGAATCTGTTTGAAATGGAGGTTATCGGGAGAAACGGCGCATTCATGGGCGCGGATTGGCTCGCACCAGGCCAAGTGAGGCCCCTCCATAGTGGCGACTTCATTCAAATCGGTGGAGTCCGAGTGAGGTTTGTCCTTCCTGACGTTCCGGTTGGTGAAACTGGGGCAGAGCAGGATGAACCGTCGGTAGCTGATGAAAATGAAGAGGAGGCGATTGCTCGAAAAGAGGCCCAGACGGCTGGAGCTGGTAGTGATGCAGAGGTCTGTAATATGGACACAGATGGCTCAGAGCTTAGTGGGGTGGAAGATCGATCACAGCCAAAGAAATCGGGCAATGAATCTCGATCGAAGTCGAAACCTTCACTGGAGGTTAGCCCAGAAGCTTCGCCACAACCCGTACGTCGTCGTGGGCCTGGTCGGCCACCCAAAGACGGAATCATGTCCAAACGAGAGCGTGCTGAAATAGCCAGAGAACAGAAGCTGGCTGCCAAACGCGAAGCGAACGGTGGAGTGACGCCTCCTCCTACGTCATCCCGTGGTAAGACCGGTAAAGCTGGCAAGGATTCCGGCCAAGATGATCCTTCAAGCGCGAAGGCAGAGAAACGAAAATACACGAAACGCAAGAAACCTGATTCAACTCCTACTGATGCGGTTATGCCGTCGATTGAAGGCGGTGATGTAAATGCTATCATCGGTGTTGAGGATCTCCCCAAGCCGACACCTGTGAAAAAACGAAAACCATCAAAATCTCCCTCGCCTGATTACCCCCCGGAGAGTTTCTATACAAGCGAGGACCTTGCGAAACCTCCATATCCCTATGGGGTTCTGATTTTTGATGCCCTTACTGAGTCTCAGACCCCCATGACTCTGAAACAAATATATCGCGCACTGAAGCTTAAGTACCCGTACTTCCGATTTAGATGTGAAACTGAGGGTTGGACATCAAGTGTTCGTCATAATCTTAACGGGAATGCGCACTTATTTGAGCATGCGGAAAGGGATGGAAAAGGATGGTCGTGGAGGCTCACACCAGGAGGGTCTGTTGATAAAGAAAAGAAAAGGAGACCATCGCCCCCTCCTCCTTTACAAAGTACCTCAAATGCTACCCAAAATCCTGGGGGTAACCAAACATACCTAGCGCCAACACCAGGCACTCAGTTCAATGACTCCCGTCCAAGCATGCCCGAACGTCATAATTCGTTTCCGTTCCCCTACCCTCCTGCAGGGAACAATCAGTCCGCGGTGGGAGGAGGTGCAGCACGGTCACATAATAGTCCCTACTCCGTGCCGAACCCTGTTGCTCAATTCTCACTTCCAAATGTATTGCGTAATAACCTCCCACCAACATTTGCAGCTCCTACCACCTCGACGTATCGGTCTCCGTATGCCTCTGCACCACCACCAGAAATATTACAAGCGCAAAAACAGCAGCAGCAGCAACGTCCTCCACCAACACTGCATCAAACACAGCAGCAGCATCTGCCCTCGTCTTCTCAGCCGCAGCAACTACAGCAACAACCTCAGCAACCTCAAAATTCTCAACAATCCCAACAACCGTCACAACCAAACCAACAGACTCAACCTCAGCTTCAAAATCAACACCAACAACCTCCACCGCCGCAAAATCGACCGCCTCCACCTGAACAATACAAATTCCTCAACCATACTCCACGCCCGCCACAAAATGCTCTACCGCCGTCCTCTAATCATACTTCTGCCAACCCCCTTTCGCCACCTAATACGAATCCTCCACTGCCGCAATACCAGCCTCAGCCTCAACCGCCCCCTCCAGCCCAACATCCTCCCCACATTCATAGCCAACAACAACAACAGCAAGGATCACCGGCGCCACCAGCGTCGAGCCAACCCACCCAGCTTCCTCCACCACCCCCAGAGCCCGAACCATCGTTCCTTGATAGAGCAAATCAAGCCATTGATAATTTTGAAGCAGTACTCATGGAAGACTACGAAGATAAAGAATACATTTCCAAAGTCCTTCGAAGTGCTCGCGACCGCGTGCTCAATAGGGCTACTGAAAGTTCCTTCCCTGGTGGGGAGCCACCTTAGCACGTCCGTTATTATTGATGCTTTAAAAGGAATAATAGCAGGC